TGGTACTCGGTATCAGCGAGTACTGAAAGATAAATATCGGTACTTGTACTCGCTACCGAAAAATTGGTATTGGTGCATCCCTAGTTTTTACACTCATCCAAAGACATTCAAGCAAAAATCCTGTTTTTTGTTTATTTTTTATTTCCTTTGCACATGATGGGGTATTTAAAGTAACCATCACCTCACCATATTTACTTTAGTACTTATTGAATCAAACAGATATGTGGAGCAGATCCACTTGTCTGAGGTTACAGTGCAGGCTACAGACAAACTGAATGTAAACAGAGCAAAGTTTACACTGACCAGGTCCGGCATAGACAGATGAATACAAAGAAAGAACATATATTCAATATGCAAAGTTGTTTGGTATCTCTCCATACGTTAAAAGCACAATTATCCATTATGCAGTGGGGTACATGAGCATATACGAGTACACAGAGGGACTGAAGGCATACGATGAATCATCTCTATGTACTTAAGGAATAATATTACATTTTCCACAGAACTGAGAATTTAGGGCTCATTTAACACTTCTATGACCAGATATGTGTTTGTATAACACCTTCATCAAAGTAGAAAGTAATAGTACTTTCTTCAGCTGTTATGTAAGAGTTAGCAAAATACGTTGCATTCCAACCGTTTTAATTCCCAGGGTCATTTGCTGTTGATAAAGAGATGCTGCATATACAGTACACACAGGGTAATGGATGTAAAAACTGAATAACAAGTTACCTACAATAGAATTCCAATAATATCGGGAATCTTGTTCTATGTATGTCTATTTTGTCTATGCTATGCTATTATGGCATTGCCAAGGAAACAATGCTTCTTCACATTGAAAGATGTTAATCATTAAGAATAACATCATGTTTCAGGCGTACACAACTTGGGCACCCTAAGGCTTCTTTTGGCCTCTAGAAAACCCAAAATATATAATAATTAATTGATTCATATGATATATTTAATAGATGTAACCCTGCAAAAAAATTGTTTCGATTTGAATCCATTTGGATTTTTATTCCTTTCGTTTTTTGGATTTCGGATCTGTCCGAATTTTAGTTTTGAAATGAAATCACATGACCATGCCTGTAATGCAACCCCCAACTGCCAAAAAAAACATCTGATTGGCCAGAGAACAGTCACATTTCCAATTTAGTTTTATTTTGAACAAAATTAGGAAAGATCTCCATTTTCAGTAAATAAACATTTGGATTTGTTCGCATTCAGACACATTACAATTCGGAAGTTTGGATGCATCCAAATGTCTGAATTTAACAAAATTCATAGGAATATCCATTCGCAATTAAACAAAATTTACATGTCTAATATTTAAATGGCATCAAAATGTTTCACAGTGATTTAGAGAGTGCAATAAAACCTTCCACACCAGTTCCTTATCCAGAACCGTGTACAGACTGGTGTCTCCACCACAGCCACATAAACAAATATAGATTGTGGATGGAAACTGAAATACCCAGAGATAGATCATGTAGACAAAAGCAGAAAATACAGACTCCATGCAGAAAATATTTGTTAAAGGAATTGAACCCAGTGCTCTAGTGATGCAACACCTAGTCATCATGTGTTCTTGATATAGTTTCCTTAAAAATATATAAACTTCTCTGAATCTGAATTGTCTATACTGAACCATTATGATTAGGGATGAGCTCATCAGGCATTGACGTGCCATGGGCCACCTGCCTAATCAGCTGTGAGCAGGGGAATTTGCTACCCCACAGCTACAATAAACTAAGGGGCTGCATGCTTGTACTGACATCATTGACCTTCTATGGCTACATGGCCATATTAAGTCAATATCATGGACCAAATAACCCATGTAGCCGTATGAAGTCAATGATGTCACTGCATCCTGCCCCTTTGCTTACATGCAGCTGTTGGCAGGGAATTTTCTGGCCGCAGTTGATTGGGCAGCAGTGGAAGGAGCTTCTTACCATGTTAGGAGGAGCTCCTTCCATGTTCACAGGAGCTCAGATTCAGAGGAAACCAAGCTCATCCCTAATTATGCTTTCAGATAATATGCACTATGTTAATCTGGAATCTGTTTGGCTACTATGAATACACCCTGTCTTTCTTTTCTACTAATGCATACATCAAGTTTTGTTGAACTATGCTAACTCTGATACATAGATGTGTTAAGTATAAGAGAATGATGAAAGCCATTCCAACTGACAGCAATTAGGTTTACATCTGATGGTTACCTATTACTGCATCAGCACCCAAAACATCCTAAACAGAGTTTTACAATGTTTTTTGTGGATTGATTTAACAGTCCGCACTCACACACAGATTGCTATCTTTAGGAAACAGATACTTGCACATTTTCAGAAACTAATCTTGGGAAAATCAGAGGCATTTTTAATTAGAAGAGGATTGCTGAAATGTAATCCAAGGAAATGTCAAATCTGTTAGATAAACAAGGTGAGGGCAAACAAAGAATACAATGAGCAAATTGTCCAAAATAATTGTGTGCTTTTTTCTGAACAAAATAAAATCTCAAAACAATAGGAGTCATTGGACAGAAGATGGAAAACCATTTTTCATAATTTTAGGTTATGTGCTTTCATCTGACAAATGCTTTGTTTTTTTCAGTTATTGGATACTGATAGTTACTTATCATTTTACGTTCATTCAGTCAGACATGTTTAAGAAGTTGTCTTGTCTGTTTAATGGATAGCATGCGCTGCAACAAGAACACTACCATAACTGTTACAGGAGAAAATATGTGTATAATATGATCACAAGCTTTGTTTTGGTTATAATTACAAGATTGACAAATTCCTTTTGCTAAATACAGAATTTAAAGTGAAACCTCCCAGGTGAACCATATACTTAGCTTAGTAGATTCCTGCCTATTTCTGTTCTTATATTCAGGAACAATAGTGAACTTGCTTAAAGCTGAACTCCAGGCAGATATAAAAGGCACAAATGAATGCAGCTCTGTAATCATGAATACATCATTAAATGTATCTTTTTTTAAAATACAAGCAGTGTAAGCTCCTGAATTTGACTTGGCATCAGCCTCTTGTACTGCCAAGCTCAGACTGTGAGAAGCAGCGCAAGACACCAACCAGGTGAGTTGCAGCGCAAGGAGAATTCTGATAGAAGGAAAGAGCAGAGTGACAAAGAGATGAGCTCTTCAGTGTGCTGCTTCTCCTATCACTATCCATTCAAAAGGTGTGGATGGAGAGGAGACCTTTAATTAGAAGTAAAACTGCAGCAGGGAAAGAATAGGTCCCCTACTTTGCTAGACAGGGATGTGCTATATGGCAGTGTTGTGTAAACCTCAGGATGGGATGGGCTGGACAGAAATAAAAAATCTTGGGCAGGTAAAATAGCTTTTATTTTATCTGTGTAGTTAGCTATTTGCCTGTAGTTCAGCTTTAGGCCCTTTTAAATGAATACGAAGTGGAAGTTTCTATATTATCACATGCAGATTCTTAGTATTGTAAGAATTTCATAGCCTTAGCTTTCCCACTGATGTTAGCGTAACAGACCTGTGGCTCCCTTGGGCACCATTAGTAAAGCACTGATACGGTGTGGTAAGTGTGCCACAGTGAATGTTGGGTGTAGCCAAATGTGTGTGCTTACAGTGGGGGTTGCTTAAAGGGGCATTGGTTCAATAAAACCTGAGCCTACATACTGTATACAAAGCACACATATTCCTTGTTTCCACAAAATATGCTTTAATCACTGTGCCACAAGAGAGAGAATCTCACAGACACATATAAACCTCAGCAGAACCATTGTTAGAAAATTAAAGTCTTCCATTACTTATGCTTTTCTGCAAACAGCATAGAGAACTAACACTTTTCTGAGCCTAACTTAAAGAAGAACTTAATTAAAATAGTTGGGGACTACCTAGAAACTTGGACCATGGCAACTGTGAAGACCATGGGCACATAGGTGATGGTTATAAAGTGTAAATATAACAAAAAAGAGTGCAAGGGTCAGGAGTATAACATTAACAGAGCACAAAGTTCAGGAGAACGTAGCACACAGAGTGAAGTGGTCAGAAGTATGTAATTAACAGAGCACAGGGGTCAGTAGTACGTAATGTACGGAGCACAGGGATTAGGAGTTCGGACCTGGGGAACTCACGCTATCACCATTCTGAGTTATGTTCCCTAAATGGTACATGTAATATTTAACCTGAAGAGAAAATACCTTAGAAACATTTGATTTTGCCCCATTCACACAACAGCCAGTATACATTGTGCAACAAATCCTACTATACTAATACTAGGATAACAGAGCTCCTCCACACATACAGTACACTCAGTGAGCATTGTCAGTCTAGGACAGAAAATGTGTTACTGGGTGAAAATAAAGAAACAAAAGCCCTAAGAGAACTAATGCAGCAACCACACTGACTGGTAACATGTACTGGTTACAATGACTGGTGACAATACATGACATGGTCGTTTCATGATTTGGATATGGTTTAGACTAATAAAATGTCCACAGAAATAAGAGGGACAGTTGGATGTATAACCACAATCCAATAACAAATCTAAGCCTGTCACTGCAGAGCTCTCTATGACCAGGAATGTTCAAGTTGTCCAGATGTTCCTGTTTATGTGATATCAGTAAGAGGGGAAAGTACCACTGTGCCAAGGGCTGATGTAGCCTGAACCATGTATTATAGGGCAAATAGAAGCAAATGAAACTAAATGTTTAGCCTGCCCAATTGATTTTTACCACTGAGAGCCTTGGAGTTGTGCTTGGGGCATAAGGTTGTGAGTTGACCCAGCTGTAAATGACTAGATCAGGGGACTGTCATGTACTGTCTGTTGGAGGTTTCACTTGCATGAGCGAGAGCTAAGCCTGTAAGATCCATGGGGACATGGGACATGAATGGCACCTTTTCATCTTAAAGTGCTCTAGAAAACATTGTTAATGTAACAATTGAATAATTGACAATGATTAGCAGCTTTTGTTTTCTCTCTATGCTTTAAAGTGTGATTTTTTTCCCCCCACAGAGCACTGATTATTCCAATGTTTCCATTATTGCTCAGAATAAGAAATGCTTTGATAATGACATAATTTGTTCAAAAAATCTTGTAATCTCCGTGGGTGGTACTGAGATTTATTTTACGGACACATCAGAAAAACAGGTTAGTGCGAAAGTCTTAGTAGGTTTCTTTTAAATCTTTATTATTTTGTGGAAATGCAGGATACTCACTAACAATGTTATTTTTCTTTGTATTGATATAGAAGCAGTTTCGAATGCAAAATGGTTCTTTTAGGATTCAGCATTGGAAGGCTGGGTTTTACACTGTGGTACACTTTCCAGAATTAGACATCACAATACTTTGGGACAAGAAAACCACAATACATGTTAAAGTTGGACCCCGGTGGAAAGTAAGCATTGGTGGTTACCTGCATTCAAACGTTAAAACATATTTCACATTTAAGTCAAACACAACCGTTTTTCTAAAAGTTAGGGTCAAATAATTTCTGTACATTTATGCATATTATCATTTTACTCTAACTTTTAGAAAAATAGTTGCGTGTTTTTTTTTCCATAAATGTAAAATAAATGTTACCATTTTTAATTAAAATGTTATCAAAATTATAAATGTTTTTGGTTTCCTTGTTGGTACATTAGAACTGGTAAGCTGCTCCAGATGTTAAAGAGTAGAGCAGTCAAACAGCTTAATTCTAGTTGCACATACAAAGTCAACACCATGATTTGTAAGTGAAAACTTAGGGGATGCCTCAGGCAAAAGCCTATGTTGGCTATGCAGAAATCCAGTGCTGCCCGAAAGAAATGCTCTTATTGATTATGTAATGCTCTTAAAAGAAAACTAAAAAAATAGTTTACTGTTAGTTTTATGTTAGTTATGTTATGCAATTTAAATTTAAAGATCATCTTTGCTTTAAAAATGTTTTTTTTTTTAAATTGAATAAATGAAAAAGAATTCTCAGAGCCTTACTGGTTTAGCTAAATAGACACTACAGCAGTTATCATCTTCTTTTTAGGCAGGTTGATTCTTACTGAAACCTGGAACAGAGCCATTGCAATGAGTCATTTATCAGTGTGGGCAAATTTAGCTTGGGCTACTGAGCTGTGTGTGTTCCGGACTCACCTTTGCCCTGTGGGAGCCCATGATTTCCATCAGTGTTGTCAGGATGGCAAGTTGAGGTGAAATGAGAAACATCCATGTCTTATTCTCCCCTAGAAGCGCTTAGCTCTTAATACTTCCGGGCTCAGAGCTGTCAGATCCCGGCTTATGAGTCTACTCTGTCTAGTTGGGGGTAGTGCAGAGAAGGCATTAGGGGTTCAAGAAATCCCTTTAGCTATTACGTAGGGAGCTTGTAACCCCCCTTGTGATAACAATAACGTTAAATGAAATAATATATATTTTTTAAATTCCATAATTACAGAACATTATGTAAAATTTGATTGTGTTTGTGTACACCAAAATTATGTTTACTGAAAATATAGCTTTAAACAGTTGCCCTATTTTTTAAATTGCAATCGCCATGGTTTTATTCCATGGTTCCTCCGCTTTCTGAAAATATATAATGTTTTGAAGTTTTAAGTGTGTTTTTAGGTAACAAATGTGCATTTTAGCATGTTGCTAGTTGACAGTTTCCAGCTGGCTCTACAGGACTACAGGGACTCCTCCACTTTATGTTATGGAGAAGATGATAGAGAATGTTTTTAGTAGTCCTGTCCCAGAGTCACAATGTTGATTCTCTATAAATGCAGTATGGTGAGTGAGCATTGTCACCCTAGGGCAGGAAATGTGTTACTGGCAGGGTCACTGGATGAAAATAAAGAAAAGAAAGTCATAGAAAAGGAAAAAAAATGCGGCCACCACATGTAAGGGTTGGTAAACTGCAATATATTACATTTTTGATAAATAGATTAGAAATGTGTTCTTATACCATTCAGGAAGACTTTATTAAAATCTACATGATATTATGTATATTTTTAGGGAAAACTTTCAGGTCTGTGTGGAAACTTTGACAAGTACACCTCCAATGATTTGACTACTTCTAATAATATGGAGGTGAGGAATGCACAGGTGTTTGGAGACAGCTGGACTATTGGCCAGGTATGAAATTCTTGTCTGGGAACGATCTTATTTTGTGCCCAAATGATCTCAGTATATTCCCCGTATATGAATCCCCATTGCTATTTCTGTTATTGGTAATATATTCCTCTATATCTGCTGGATGTAGCTGTGGTAAGGTCACTGATAAAAACCCATGAGCCTTTTTTCTGCTGTTGTTGCCTGAAGACATACCAGTTTGTTTTGGTCAAGATCACCCAAAGCACATATAAATTAATTATTGACTGTTATACCGAAAGTGATAATAAAGTGAAAAGGTTTTTAAGCTTTTTCAAATGCTGATTGAGTGACCTACAATGGATACTGCTCCTTGATTTTTAAAAGTTCTAGTTCCCTGAACAATCAGCTTGTCCTGTGAGCACTGGCCCTGAAATCCTGTTTTAGGGTGGCTCCTTTCTCAGGCAGTGTCCTATGGAGCCGTTGTTGTGTATGCTAGTAAACTGTGTGTCTCCACAAACACACAGGCACAGCTGGGCAAGTCACATCCCTCCTCCCTGTTCCTCCTTCCTTCTCCAAGCTAGTAGATGAACAGCTGCTGGAGACTGCTCTGTCCTTTGTGATGTTGTGCTGGACAGTAAGTTCAGAGAAGTGGTTCTGAGAGTTGGAGCCAGGTGTTTGGAAACATGTTGACTTTTAGTGTTTGGGCAAAACTGTAAATAAATATTTTGCTGGGCAATTATTATTTGGTTGATCTGGATTCATTAATGTAAAAAAGTTTGAGAGTATAATACTACTTTAAAGCTAAGGGTGTTGTGTTTTTTCGTCTCCAGTGTAACAGTTATAATGAGACAATGAGACCTTGCGAAGTTCACCAAAGCAAATTCCCATATGCAAAAAAAGAGTGTTCAATTCTCTATAGCGATGTGTTTGCTCCATGCCGTAATGTGGTAAGTTGGAATATATAAGTATCATTTTTAAAGAAGACCATACAACAATGAAAGATAATCATTTTAAAGCATACGCTTCACAAGTTTGGGGATTGCCAGTATGTATTTGAAAGAAAAATGTGTTTTGACCAATTACCATGCAGATATTTTCTTTGGAATTTTTCTGTGGTCAGACCAGCGATATTTTACATCTCCTTAAAATACCTGATTTTTAGTTTGTGATCACTATAGAGATGATGATGATGATAAACTGATTTTTTTAAATTATGTTATTAAATGTGTTATGTAGTGAACGTCTTTATGGTCATGAATATACTAGTCACCTTTATTATACATATTATAAATTATACATTAAACACCATTGAACACATTTGGGGCTTTTTAGGACCTTCCACACATTTTCTTCATCAAATTCCATAAAACATTTTATGGATGTTTGTCCTTATTTTATGGAGTATATCTAATAAATGTAATTTTTAAGATGAAAAACATGTGTGAAAGCACCTAAAAAGCCCCAAATATGTGTTCAATGGTGTTTAATAATCAATTGTCTCAATGCCTTTGCATGCAAACATTGCACCACCCTAAGATAAACACTAGATGGCATTATAATAATTGATTTTCATTTCATATCTCCTATTGAAATTAATATTAAATTAACCCTTTTGCGGTTAGTAGTGACCTGAGCCTTCACACAACCCATATAGCTGCAGTGCTCCATATGTAATATTTTATTTTTAAAATAACTAGAATTTTGTCATTTTTAAAGGCAAATTATGAATGATCTACTGTGGGGATGAAAAATAATATTGATTGTGTTATGTTATACTGTGTTACAGATTGATGTGACATCATTTGTAAAAAACTGCCATACAGACACATGTAACTGCAACCTTGGAGGAGATTGTGAATGCCTTTGTACCAGCATAGCGGCATATGCTCACAAATGCTGCCAACAAGGTGTAGCCGTCCACTGGAGATCGCCCAATATGTGCCGTAAGTAGTTCTTTACTTTTGAAAGCTTGTGAGAAATTATGATTTTACTATATTAATCAAATCTAATGCAGGCCTTTGATATCAACCTGTTACAAAATGGCTTCTTCTACACTCAGTGGATGCAGCCATTTTGTTATCTGAAGCAGAATTTATACTATTAGTATCAATTTAGTAGCAATCAACAAGACAAAAGTCACAGATCTAATTACGGAAGGAGTGCTACTGACTGGCACAGAATGTGTGGATGGGAAATGATCAGGGATAAACAATGAATTGTTGGATTGAAAAATGCGGTGTTTGACACTCAAGTGTGATGGAAAGACAGGGCACAATGGCGGTGAACTCTTCTGATAGGGTTGGTGTAGGTTCAGTGATAGGACACTCCTGGTGATGTGGTCGTGGGGTCGTGGGGTCTTGCTGTTTGGGTGGAAGGGTGTCACAGGGGTCAGTAGGCTGTCTCGAATCTTCACGTGGAATACCAGTTGCAAGCCATTGTGGGAAAGAAACAACACATTTGTGTTTGGCCCAGAACTGAGGGTGAAATCTCCCCAGTAAGGATACATACAGCAACAGAAACCTAAGAGAGGTCCTACCTTTTTGTCGGAAAAGTTGGACACTTGATGCAGTGTTCATAGAACATCTTTAAATTCAAATGCTTGTTTGTAATATTAGGAGTCTCTAGTGAGTTGTGCTGCAGCAGAATTTAACTTTCGGAATAGAGCATTTTTATATTTGAATGGCTGTTATACTTTTACTTTCAAAGTTAAAAATGGCTGACAAGTACACTTTAAGCACAATGTACATGAATAACCGAAAACAATGTTTACATTTATGAAGTCTGTATTGTTAGTTTTTAATCACCATTTCTGTTTTTCAGCATATGATTGTGAATATTATAACCAAGGTGAGTTGTTTTTTAACAATATAATACATTTTTTTTTACTAATTTATTTAGTGTACGTAAAGTTTTTTTTTTTATAGTTTGTATAGGGTAGGGAATGGTTAAAGAGACCCTGCCACTATTTATTTCAACAACAATCTTCCCATAGGATTCCATGTGAATTTAACATATTTTATGTATGTTATTTACCTATAAGCAACTCCCTTGTGTAGGTATCCAAAACCCCCAGGACTGCTGCTGGGCTCTGCCATCTTGGATGTGATATCGGCAGACTCAGAGCTGTCACTCTCCTTCGCTCTTTCACTGACAGCTACATAAAAGGCTATGTAGAGAGGTGAAGGAGGAACAGAGAAGCTGGGCCAGCGCAGAGTAATTTTACACTCCCAGTAGAGGAGAGAGCTATGATTTGCAAGCAAGGAGGGGGTGTGGCAAGAGAATTGACTCTCTTGGGAAAGTACTATTTTTTAGCAAGTTCAAAGGCATGTTGCAAGTGAATAAAAAAAACATTTATAGAAAGAGAAATTACTGCACGTAAGCATTTAATATACTTGCATATTCTGTAATTTTACCTGCAATTTTATAGGTTGGTGGCAGGGTCTCCTGTCCCAGAACACAGGAGGAAATAAAGTATTTGTTTAGAAGCACCAGAGGCAATCATCATCCCTCACAAGGAAGGAGTGCTGGGCATATGTGCAGGGCGCAGCCCCAAAACAGTCAGGGGAACTGGGGCATCTGAAAGAAAACACAAAGAGGGGTGCCTTTCCTGGTGCAGATAGGTTTATTCCAATAAAAAGGTTAAAAATGAACTAGCAGGTACTCACAAGAGTAGAATGATAATAAGCTGCAGGACAATGTAAAAACCGGAGCAATGAAGGGATCCGTGTACTACGTCCTGTATGTAGGTGAAGTGTCGACGCGTTTCCGGGGCATGCCCCCTTCGTCAGTAGGCTGCCAATATTACACACATTTATAACTGCTTCCATGCATCTCTGAATAATGCAACTGTTATTCGCAACTTATTCACTACATCATATACTATATCATCATTCGTTCATGATGTTCATAATTTTCACTACATCCTCAGTTGTTCATAATTTTCACTACATCATTACTAGTTCATGACGTTCACTACATCATGTACTAACTACATCATCATTCCTTCGTAGTGTTCACTACATTGTGTACTACATCATCACTCATTCATGCTGTTTGCTACATCATGTACTACTTCATCACTCTTTCATGACGTTTACTACATTATGTACTACATTATGTACTACATCATCTTTCTTTCAGAGCGTTCACTACATCATGTACTATATCATCATTTCTTCAGAGCGTTCACTACACATCATGTACTATATCATCATTCCTTCAGGGCGTTCACTACATCATGTACTATATCATCATTCCTTCAGAGCGTTCAATACACATCATGTACTATATCATCATTCCTTCAAGGCGTTCACTACATCATGTACTATATCATCATTCCTCCAGAGCGTTCACTACATCATGTACTATATCATCATTCCTTCAGAGCGTTCACTACATCATGTACTAAATCATCACTCAGACCTTCAGTACATTATGTAATACATCATCATACCCTAAGGCCCCATTCACACTGAGCGACATGAAAATCGCGCAATTTTATATGAGCGATATTGGGCGACTTGTCGTGCGACTTTTTCCTATTGGGCTGTATGCAATCAGGAGCAAAATCGCTCGAAATCGCTCGAAAAAAGGGTCATGTAGGAGCGACAAGCTACAGCGACAAGCTACAAGCAATATTGAGCGACGAGATGTGAACAGCTCCATTGAAATGGATTGGAGAAGCTACATAGAGCGATATCGCTGCAAAAATCGCTCGATAAATCGCTCAGTGTGAATGGGGCCTAATAGGGTTCACTACATCATCACTCCTTCATAACTTTCAGTACTTCATGTAACCTTCCATCTAAAAGAGCCCTAATTGGCAGAAGATGGGAAAAAATGCATCTATACAGATATACAATCATACTTGCCTTTCTTTAATTTTGTAAACAGCACATTTAGTGTAAAATATGTTCCTCAATCCCAATGCACCAAGTTTCAGGGCGTTCACTACATCATGTACTATATCATCATTCCTTCAGAGCGTTCAATACACATCATGTACTATATCATCATTCCTTCAAGGCGTTCACTACATCATGTACTATATCATCATTCCTCCAGAGCGTTCACTACATCATGTACTATATCATCATTCCTTCAGAGCGTTCACTACATCATGTACTAAATCATCACTCAGACCTTCAGTACATTATGTAATACATCATCATACCCTAAGGCCCCATTCACACTGAGCGACATGAAAATCGCGCAATTTTATATGAGCGATATTGGGCGACTTGTCGTGCGACTTTTTCCTATTGGGCTGTATGCAATCAGGAGCAAAATCGCTCGAAATCGCTCGAAAAAAGGGTCATGTAGGAGCGACAAGCTACAGCGACAAGCTACAAGCAATATTGAGCGACGAGATGTGAACAGCTCCATTGAAATGGATTGGAGAAGCTACATAGAGCGATATCGCTGCAAAAATCGCTCGATAAATCGCTCAGTGTGAATGGGGCCTAATAGGGTTCACTACATCATCACTCCTTCATAACTTTCAGTACTTCATGTAACCTTCCATCTAAAAGAGCCCTAATTGGCAGAAGATGGGAAAAAATGCATCTATACAGATATACAATCATACTTGCCTTTCTTTAATTTTGTAAACAGCACATTTAGTGTAAAATATGTTCCTCAATCCCAATGCACCAAGTTCCTTACACTGAACACCATACAATATGTATCTTGTGTTTCATTGCCATTGAAATCTCATAACCCTTAATCTAGCTCAAATACTTCATAAAAAGGCATTGTTTCTTGGAGAATTTAGGCAACATTTTAATTAATATTTACTGTGTCTCCATTGCTGTCGTATGTTATCATTCTTTATCTCCTTCATTTTCAAACAGGATTAGGCGAAGGTCCCTTCATTCTCTCAAGTTGCGGCAACAGTGAAATTGTATTAGGCGTTAATGCTACCAGCAAATATATATTCCCATTGCCAAGAATGAGTGCACACGGAAATGTTTTATTTAACTTCATGGTAACACCTGGACTTTTTAGAGATAAAGACTTGTGTGAGTACTCAACGTCCAAATATTTAAATAATATTGTCACAAAAAAATGCAGGCAATTCTATCAAAAGTAACCTAAGTCAATGTATGTGGTGTTAAGTGATCAAGCACAGTGAGACTAGTGTTATAGTCTGAATGTGTATCCCAGCAGCAATGTGCTCTGAAACCTATCGTTTATTGTAATTCTCTGCTGCTGATAAGAAGACCATTATTCAGCTATTGCATATACTACAGAATATGTATCTTAGGTCAGTAGGAGTGGGCAGCATCTGGCAAGCCAGAGATGCAGAAATGTCATGTTTTTTTTAACACCAGAAAGCTTACTTATTACTGCATAGCATAAAACAAACACACACACACACACACACATGTATGTATGTATGTATGTATGTATGTATGTATGTATGTATGTATGTGTGTGTGTTGCAAGTAAATCCACAGCCAAATAAAACTAATTTGGTATTGAATGAGATGGATGGAAAATTTGGTGGTTCAAAGACAGGGGGCTTAATTTGCAAGCTACATGGCCTCTACTCCATTAGTAAAGTAAAATCCACTAAGGTTAGTAAATAAAGTGAAGCTGTACTTACTTTACATACCCAATAATCATGTGCAAATTATATTAAAAATACAAGATTTTTGCATGCATATGAACGCAGCTTCATTTTATTCATTCATAACGTTCACATTTGAAAGTGTACATTTACTTTGCAATGTACACCATATACAATATATTCCTTTATTAAAGCAACCCAACCATGTTTTAGTGACATGTTGCCTACATGGGTGCATAACCAAATATGATAAGGAAACCACTGATAAAAGTTATCTCATATTCCACAATTAAGTTCTTTAGCAGAGATATGATTCACAGTCAAGAAGCTGCATTGCCCTAGAACTGGTTTGTATGTTATAAACAGAAAATGTCTGCCTATATCAGAGCCAGGTGTTTATTGGTTTGTTTAAAGTTTAATATAGTGGTTCCCTAAACTGTGGCTCTTTGCTTGCCTTTAACTAGCCCATCTGGCACTATTCCTACAACCAATACCGATAGGGCACTATGCTTCCCACTGATGCCAAAGATGGGACACTATTCCTCCCACTGACACCAACGATGGGGCACTATTCCTTCCACTGACACCAATGATAGGGCACTATTCCTTCAACTGATACCAATGATGGGACACTTTTCCTACTTCTGATACCCACGGTAGGGCACTGTCCCTCCCAATGATGTCAACAATGGGGCACTGTTCTTTTCACTAACACCAACAATTTGGCGCTATTCCTCCTTCCACTAACTTCAAATGCTAGGGGATTTTCTTTTAACTCCGACTGTTCACCAACAGTGAACAGCGAAAATTGTTTTTTCCCATTGACCACTGACAGGGCATTTTCTATTTCCATTGACCACAGACGCGCCCCCCTGAGGTCTGAAGAACAGTAAACTGAACCTTTGTTTAGAAAGATTAAAGAACCTGTGGTCTAATATGTAAATTATAAAAAAGTATGTCAAAACTGACATTCGTTTTATATTAGTATGAAAACCTCATGTATATCAGTGAAACTAATAGAAGGGATTTGCATAGCGCCCTGTATTTTCTGTTTCAGTATAGGCATAGAATGTCCTAACAAGCTTGTGTACCTAAAGCCTTTAGGTTAACAAATAGTCACAGGTAAGTTACTGTACTAGTGATAAATAAATGAGAGTACTGTATATGCAGTTTTGCATTGATAGAATTACACTGAATTCTATTCTATGAAATGTACTCATAGTAAATTATTTAGCTACATTGTAAACAGTTTAGAACAGGATGATTGTTGATGCAAGTGGTGGTATTCATCAAAGAATGTACAAAGTAAACAAGTTGCATAATTGATTAACGCTTCAATCTTTAATGTTTTGGTAAACACACCAAGACACACAGTATGCATTGGTTAAATAGAACCAGCTGACCCTTATGAGAAAGTCCTCATCTATGTATAGATGGAGAAGAAAACCTCTAAAGTTCTGTATCATCGAATCAACATTTTTTGGAACTGGTAAATGCCAACATTAGAACAGACAAAATGTGAATTAATACGATTTTTGTTTTTTTAATCTCCTAAAATCTTATTTAATAGACTAAACGGGGCTCTGTTTTACTCACAATTTAATGAGAACTTAATGAAATGTTATTTAAATATATAAATCACTGTGCCTGATAAACATTAATGGTCAGACTAATGTCATGGTTACATAAATCTTTTTCACATTAACCTTCACAGTGTAATACTGCCTACTAATAGTCAATTCAATGATGCATCTGTATAGACATAAATAATGTAGGTAAGTACCTGCAAAAAGGAAACAATCCATGTGAACCCAACAGCAAATGCAGTTGTCTCATATATAGTTTGAAGCCATGTGCCACTTAGAATGTTCATAGTAAATCAGGTTGAAGTATGCACACAATGATTCATATGTTATGGAGCGAGACTAACTGCTACAATCTGCTGTGCATGCAAAAACCAACTTACTTAGCAAATTTAGTGAGAGTGAACATGATAACCTAATTATAGTGTTATGTATATTCCATAATTATTTCAACACAGAAAAAAAAATAATTAAAATTCTATCCATTGCAAAGAGATGTAAAGAAGACAGACACAATTTCCACTATATACCTTAACCTTACTTGGCCTAAAGAGTTTCCCTAAGGTAACATCAGTGATGAACTATGGGTATCTTGGGATGCTCTTCTTCTGGAACCCCTTGTATCATAGACCCAGACTTTAGATAAGGCCCTGACTCACCTCATTATCATTTAACCCTTTCGCTGCCATGGTTCTCAGTGTGTAATGACAGTCCAGCGTCCCCTGGTTACTAGATAACCAGGAGATGCTGAACTGTCATTACACACTGAGAACCTGACGGAGCCGCCGTGATATCACACCGGCTCCGCCGGGTTCTCAGTGTAATGACACATCAGCGTCCGTGGTTAGCTGCTAACCAGGGGACGCTGATCTGTCTCTGCATGAAAGTGGCCGGAGCCAACCGTGAGATGATGGCTGGCTCCGCCAAGCTGTCAGTAGCAGGTTGTCGGCCAGCCATTCCAGCTTCGGCTCCAAACTCGTCACCCTTTTGTGAATAACCCTGTAAATGTATTTTAGGCAAGGAGTGTAATTTCCTGAACTTAACTTGGTAACAGCCTCAAATTGTCCCTGTACAGCAGAACTCAGATCCAGAGAGGGAAAAGCAGCATAAGGAGCCAACCTGCTGTGCTGAAATGCTGATGGTTTAACAATGATCATACTGATTGGTGGAGAGAGCAAATTAAAGTGACCGTAAACTCAGGAGTTAAATCTTAAAAAGGCATTTAAGTACCTTAACTATAAGCAAAACAATAAAGCTTATTTGTGTATTACTCGGCTGTAGACCCTCAAATCATCTCTGAATTTATGCTGAGACTGTCCTTCCTTCTGGAGGGTGGCTACTTTTGTTCACCATGGTCCCTTTGTGTGTTGTTAAGTAGACACCGCTCCAAACTCACTCCTGTGATGCACTATCATTTCAAGTTTAGTTTACTAATTTGTATTGAGATTGTAGTCTCCTGTGATAGGCTCTAACTGCAGTACAAAATAGTAAACCAAACGTGAGACCATACTCCATCACAGGAGTGAAACTGGAGTGGTGGCTACCCATAGGGACAATGGGGAACAAAAGTAGCCACCCTCCAGTAAGAAGGACAGTGTCAGCACCAATTCAGAGATAATTTGAGGATCTATATCCAATTGATACACAAATAGGATACATTTTTGTTGATAGTTAATTTATTTGAATGTAATGCATTTATAAGATTTAACTCCTAGGTTTAGTGTCACTTTAAAGCTCATCTGTTTGCTGTTTCTGCTTTTATGGTACAGTCATATGATGGGGGGAGAGACAAGACCTGTAAGAATTACTGCCAAGCAGGGCTGTTTTGTGTGACCAAGCTATGTAAAGCTTTGGATGAAGAGGGATACAAATCCTTTGGCAGGTAAAACCGCTCCCATATTTGTATTTAATTTGAGTATTTGTATAGCTGTTTGGCTGGAGTTCAGCTTGCTGTGTATGTGAAAAGCATTAGTTTGCTATCTGGACTCCATTCCATAAAGTTGCTGTTGCCTTTGGAAATGTAAAAACAATTGTAAAACATGTTAATCATAATATTTCATGTGACGCAGCATTATCGCTTGTCTCTTTGGAATCTGCGGAAAGACCAAATTATTTTTTGACGGTGCAAGAAAATGACAGCGTGCATTTGGAGCAGTGGGAAACCAGCTCGACATTTCGTAGAAGAGCTACCTTTTTTCATCACCAAGGCCTCTGGGTTCCAGGATATAGTGCCTTTGAATTGCACAGCAGAAAGGGGTTCTTTATAGTTCTAACAGCCACAGAAGTTAAAGTTTCTAAATACGACAATTCTGAGGAATTTAAACTGTCCAGCGGATTTAAAATTGAAGGTAGGTAATGTTATCAAGAAAATTTACCTTTTTGCATGTATACAATTTATAAATATACTAAAGGGAATAATGAGTCATTATTACCATTGATTTTACTCAAACATCGATGTTTGGACTTTAAAGCGAGCTCCAGGCAAATATAAAAGACACAAATGAATGTTATGCTCTATTGATTAATACATCCTTAATTGATTTTTTAATGGAAGCAGTGTAGTTACTGGAATTTGACTTGGCATCAGCCTCTTTCAATCCATGTAAAGCAGAGCTCAGAGTAGCAGTAGAAGCAGCAGAAGAGGCCAGGCAGTCGTGCTTCAGTGCAAGGAACATGCTGATAGGATTAGAGAACAGTGATTAAAAGTGAGCTCTTGAGTATGCTTATTCTCCTTTCACTGTCCAGTCACAATATAGAGACAAAACAAGACCTTTAGAGGTGAGCTGCAATAGAGAAAAATCAGGTTTTCTGCCCTGACAGGCAGAGCTGTAAAAGTCTCAAGATTGGATGAACTGAAATACAAATCAGTTGCAGTAAAATAATTGTTATATAGTTATTTAATTTGTGTATTTATTTAGTTGTTTGTCTGGAGCGGTGTATTTAGCTGTTTGCATTGTTCAGATGTTAAAATGGCTTACATCTGCTTTCAACGTGCAATATGATTCCCACTTTTTGGTGTCTGATTCTTAGAATATGTCATATGCATTTCAGAGATTGCTGCAGCAGTACCCTATAGGCGAATGTGTGAGTGGAGGTATGAACCATGTGCCAGTCCTTGTGTTAAAACCTGCAGTGATCCTGAAGCTGTTTTATGTTCGTTTCTTCCACCGTAAGTTAACTTATACCTTTTTCTAGAATTGTTTTTTGCAGAAATCATTACTGCCTGCTAGCCAGTCTGCTTTTTATTCCTGATTCCTTTCTTTGATCCATCATGCGATTTTAAATCTTATTCATTATCTTTTTTAGACCAGTGTCCTCATTGGGGAGATGTGCCTTCACTTTATGTCTCTGTGACCATTGTCTTTGGGATAGAAAGTGATAGGAAATCTCCTCAATGAAGATACTCTGGCAGCAATAAAACATGACAGCGGCTCTAAACCTTCCCCACTCTATTAAAACAAATTTTGGCTGGAGTTCCACTGTGACTAATGTTCACGACTGTCATGTAAACTTTTCTCTTTCTGGAAAATAATCAGAATAGATTATTATTTCCTTTTATTAGTGTTTGCTACTGTTGAGCACTCATTCTATGGTTGTTATGTCAAATCTACCAAAAGAAAATGTCCCCATAATTCAGTGAAAATGTTTTTGTTACCTCTTTCAAAGAGTGGAAGGATGCATTCCATACTGCCCAAACCATATGATCCTTGATGAGATTACACTCAAATGCGTCTACCCAGAAGATTGTAAGTATGAAAATGTATGACTTCTTTTATTGTTTAGCGTGAGACTTTTAGATGATATTTGCCATCATCAGTAGTACTTGTTTTTAAGATAACTTTAAAAAGTAATTACTCTACAAACTGCTAGAGGTATATAGCGTCCTAAAGGTGCCTGCACACACATGCAATGCAGCAACCTCCCAAACATTCCCATCATGGTCTAATCCATAGGCCATTCTAAAAATCCACTTTTTCACACCTCTTGATAGTGCTAAAGCATGCCTGCCCCCTTATGCTTTCTGCCTTTTCCAAAAAGTGAAGCTAAGCATAAAAGTGATAGGTCAGTAATACTGTAGTGGAGTTAGAAGCAAGCTATGATACCACCTGAAAGTGTTGGAGCTTTGTGAACTGGTGGAGGTTTGGCTATGACTGATGGGTTTGGGTGGCTGCTAATAGTATGCACAGGTACCTCTAGGACAATTTATACCTGTCGCTGGTTTTTTAAAATTTTATTTTAATTGCATCTACTCTTGCTATCCAGGAAATGTATGCAAGTGCTTCTCTTAGAAAATAGAAACACCTTATGGATAATTGCTGCTTTCACATGACACACCTGTAAGCTTTTGCCTCACCCACTGTTTTTTTTTCTTCTTTTTTTCTTTTTAACTGATGCACTTCCATTGTTATCCTCATCAGAAAATGGTGGTCTAGGTAAACCATTTGATTAGGGAAAATTCAATATAAGTATCACATTTCCAGACAACGTTCATGCCCCAGACCTACTTTATTTTTTAAGTGATAATTTAGTATCAGGCAAGCTGCAGACAGTTTTTGAGTCTGTTTTGTACTCTAGTTACTTTTCACAAAACATAGTCGGATCTATAAAATCCATTATGTCAAGTAATGGAGCAGCTTTAGGAATGACATTCTGCTATCTTGCAGACTGAGAGGCTTCAAATGTATAGAAGCGGTTTAAGAGAAATGTAATACTTTGAATGAGCTAAATAGAGTTAACCTATTATCTCGAAGATAATGATCCTCTTTGCCACTGGCACTAACTCACATGTTAAACTAAAAATGAGAACCAAAAAAGCTGAAAATGAAGATTATGGGTTGCTTCTGTATATGATCATGGCTATTTCCTTTATAATACAATGATGGAGCTGTGAACAGCAAAATAAAAGTAATTAGAAAAGAGAGTTGTTATTTTAGGTTTAAAATTGTGGTTGTTGTAGGGCACGGTTCAGACTATTATAGGTGATGGAGGACGGTGTATTTGCTGGATCAACACTGATAGGTTTCTAATTTCGGCTGGGTCATATGCTTATTTGTTTTACAGAATATTTAAAAGAGACTAGAAAAGCCTAAATACTCAGTAATTTTGTGACAGTAACCCTGATTTGACAGCCTTTATACTTTTTCTGTTAAAATACATTTGAGTTTTTTTTTCTTTAATGGCCTGAGACGGTAGACTTTGATATAAGACTCAACTTATAGTAATGAATGAGGTGTATACTGCGAGGGTGGAATAAATCATATAATAGGTAAACATCTTTCATTATTATTTAATGGGTTTAATTGCATCCCAGGGAACAAAATGCTAAATGTTTATAGCATTATGGCTATCTTTAATTTTCTTTCAGTACTGGGTGGATAATACAAACATATGTATATGAGATTTTATTTTCAATATGTATTCTGTGAGGTTCAAGTAGATATTATTAGATGGCCTGCTAAATAGCATTAGCCGCATGATTGATAGCACCTGTTATTTGTAACAGGCGCTGTCATCGCTTTTCCCTTGTTTGTAAAAGTTGGTGTTAGTTCACTAACCAGTATCTTTGTAGCATGTGAAACAGCTGTGCACTATGACATTTTAGCAAAAAAGTTACAGTCCAGTGTAGTTTACCAGATTAATACCACTATTGTATAGGCTACAACACTTCCTGGTATGTTTGTGATTAACACCTGCTAATCAACAAAGATAAAGCATAAAATATCTTCCCATCAGAATTATCACATTTAACCATGAATTTTTATCATTAAATAATTCACCCTGCTACTACTTTAAAGGATCACACATTACCCCATAACTGTTCCAATCCCCTCCCTTCCCTGTTTAAGATGAAGGTGCAAAACTGCAAGGGGGGTTAAAATGCGTCTAACCCCCCACAGCCAGCAATGAGCAGGTAAATGGTATACCTAATCTTCTCTTTGCTAGCAACAGGTGTCGGTATACTGAAAAATACTTAAGCAGCAATTGGAGGTTAATACATATTGTGGCTTCTCACAACTAATAACTTGATCAGATTGGATAGGTGCCTGCTCTTGTTGTGTGTGCATTTTCTGTATGAGTATATAGCAATTATAATAATACCTCAGTTTACTCTATAAAAAATACTGTTTGCTATATAAAATAGTTGGTGCTTAAAACAATAGCTAAGCAAATAGTATTACTATCTAACCAATATGAAGGAACATATTTATCCATAATATTTTTAATTCCTAGGCATTCCAGTGAAAACAACCATTTTGCCTACTGCCTCAAAACCAGTAATGACAAGTTTGACGCCAACAATTTCTACAAAAGAAATCTATCTAACAGTAACTGAACCAATTCAGACAGATTTTTTAGACATGTCATCCTACTCTACAACAGTTACCACTGTTGGTCCATCAAAAACAACTCATGAAGCACATACAGCCTTATCAATTTCAAGCACTTCTATGAAGTATGAATCATCTCCTGATCAGCTTACTAGTGAATATGACAAATTGACTCAAAGTACGTCACCTCCTCATCCAGAAATACAAAATATGACAACACAAATCACAAGCCTGGGAACAAGCATAGGCTCTTTAAAAACTACAGAAAAAACGAGCACTTCAGGTTCACCAATAACATCGCCTTATGCTGCCTCTTTATTTGTCACATATAAAACACTACCTCCAAAAGAAGCTGTTGATACAACAAAAACTCCAACTCGAATGTTGGGCCAGTCTTCTCAGGGCTTTTACCAACTGACAACAAAGTCAGTCACGGCAACTCCCTATACTTCCATGATGGAAAGGATTACTTTGTCTTCAGCCACAGATGTATCAGTATCTCCATTTTTGTTAAATGTAACATCACCCAGTAAAGAAAGTATATCTTCAGTTATGTCATCTGTGCCACTGAACTCATCTGTTACAACTACAGGTTTAGCCCATTTTGCCCTTAGTACAACTAGCTCTAAAGTATTAGACACTCAGTTTTCCCTTACAACATCTGAGATCAGTCCTGAAAAAAGCCTAACCACAATTTCTGCAGGTACATTGCCACACACATCTTTGCTAAATGGAACTGTGTCTACTCTGTCAACTCTGGAAACACACGTAAACCTTTCTGAAAGTTCAAGAACTGCTTTAACCACCTCAATTTTGTTGCATCCTGTAACCACCCAGTTAACTACAACTTTCACATCACCTTCAACATCTCATTTTGATCTGCAACAAACAACCAAATCTGTAATTCAAACCAAAATAAAAGAAATAATGTCTTCTTTGTCTCCAACTTCAACTTTTTCCAAAATGCCAGCAGTTGAATCTACTTTTAAACCTTCACTTAGTTCGGCTACATCATCTACATTAAGTCTACTAACATCTGTGCAGACCTCGAAAATACTTCCAAAAATTACTCCGCTAGACAATATCTCCCCTTATACAACTGTACTGCTCACTTTAGAGACCACTTTAGCACCTAAATCAACAATGACATACGAAACAAAAGACCTAATAAAGACTACAACCAAGTACACATCCTTGTTAACTACAAATGCAACGCTCATTCAGACCCCACCTGTGACTTTAAGTACTAAAAAATTCCCCAAGAGCACTGAAGCCCCTCTTAAAATACTAACCACTGTTAGAGAACATTTGGGTACTAGCACCCCTACAACAGAAGGTACAACTCGTGAATTGGGCAGTAAATCTACAGAAAGTGTTCTTGCACAACATATTTTTCCAACTAGTTCAGCTCTAGGACCTCCCGAAAATGAAACAATAGTGGATTCTTCTTCAACACACTCAAGCAAAATGTATTCCACAGTGCCCAAAGAGAGTTTACTTACTACTTCCTATTCATCTCCAACTTTTGACACTTCAACTCACACTTCTGTTCATTTAGAAAAAACAGATGCAACTACTAGTATTGGTTCCACAGTGATATCTTCTTCTGTGCCTTCAGAAATAACAGATACAGCTACTAGTATCACTTCTGCAGTTATAATGTCTGTGCCTTCAGAAATAACAGATACAACTACAAGTAATTCTACAGAGCTTGTTACTAGTGTAAAGCACTTGGAGACTCTATTTACACTTATAATGGCACCAACCTCTACAGAAGTCACTCCTGGATCTTCCACATTTTCTGCTGTGAGTGAGACAACATCTAAAGCTGTGACTCTGCATGAAACTAGTATAGAACCCTATCTCAACACTACTCATACCCCGTTGACTACTGAAAAAGAAAAGTTAGACTCTTACACGACGAAAAGCACAAGCACTATTACCAAACAAATATATACTTCTTCAGTTAGTAATACAACATTGAGTGAAATGTCCACACTTCAGCCAACAGAGATTGTGGAATCCTGGAACTTTACAGAACCTACAAAACGAACAATGCCCACAAATGTAACATTTGAATCATTTTATTCAGTGTCATCTTCTACTACCGAGTCACTGATATCTGCAACAGCTACTGATTTAATGATGAATATTACAGGATCATCAGACTATTACTCATTTGGGACAATGTTGCAAACAAGCAGCTCTTCAGAATGTATGGTAAGTAACGTATCTTAATTCTTTCTTAATATGCAGTTTTGTATGAACTAGGCAGAATAGGATGTTCACTTGAAAGCAACCATCTCAATGAGTAAATATGTATCTTTCCCACTTTTCCCTGATACTCTGATCTGCAATGCAACCTTCAATACTTCCTGTGCAAGCTTTAACTGTCACATAGACAAAACCTTCTCCGGGCTATGAGCACCCAATTGTTGTCTTCAAGTGTCAGTTATTGAGTGCGGTGATTGGCCAGTCAGGCACCAAGCACTGCACTATGGGAAGAAGGGGGTAGGGCTACATTTTCCTCATACAGCTTTTGAGACTAAAAAAACAAAATTTGTTTATATTGTGAATATTTAATTACTATATATTTTCCACTGCTAAATGAAGAAATATATTACACTCTGCATAGAAATCAATATATCTCAACAATCTCTTGTAGACCGCATTTTGAAAATGACACATTGCACACTGTATTTAGGCTTGCAGCTGTGAAGTGGTGCCCTGAAATGGTAATGGTGACAGGCCAGCATTGGTGGCAGAAGATGGTAATGCTGTAAGGTATAATATGGTTTTAGTGGTCAGATTCCAAGGAAAAAAAATATTAATTAGGATCAGCTGCAGATGTTTTGTACTCATTGTTGATACATTGCTCTCTGACAGCATGCTGGCCACAGGGCAGGCCAACAGCTTGATTGTGTACTGGGCAAGCTCCAAACAGTGCTCCAGCCTGGACATCCTAGTCCTTGGGGTCTCTGTTTTAAAGATTGTCTGCATCTGCCCTTGACTCCGGGTAATGCAAGATCATATGGTATGTGCCCTGTCTGTGACTGCTGCCAGCAGCAATACCTGACCAATGCATTCTAAAGAATTACTTTAAAGTCTCGATGAGACAGCCACTGCCACCACTGCTTTCCCTTTCAGCGACCTGAGGTTTCTAGGCATGTTAGTAATGAAAGGGTATCCAGACATTTTCTGGAAAGGCAGTCAAGAGGTTCTCCCTCAGCACCTCTTCCAAGTGGCGCATTTTTGCTCCCTCTGAGATGATAACATAAGATTTTTAATTGTCCCCCTTGTATCCGGGATCCAAAAGGGTGGCCAGCTAGTAATGGTCTCTTTCCTTCATGGCCCGAATCCTGTGGTCCTTGTGCAGGCATTGCTGCATGAATGATCCCAGTCACCACTAATTTTCTGTGGCAGAGGATCCCAAGAAAACTCTGCCTCAATGATCTCACCTCACAAATGTACAACTCCCAGGGTTTGGGAGGGATGAATACTTCAATACTACTTCAGGAAGCCTACCATATATCCTCCTCACCTCCAACATCCCAACTCTCCTCCTCATGCTCTTTCTCTGCCTGCTGCTGCCTCACCAGTATGGAGTCAGTTGTGAAGGAATCCTGCAGGCCATGAGATAGCATAAAGTCTCTCTTTTCCCACTGCTACTATGCCTTCAGTGTGTCATTCAGCCATAAAGTGTGCACTTCAGCAGGAACACTATAGGAATTGTGTCACTGGTCCCTGTCTCGTTACAACTTACCATTTTGGTTACCTTTTACCAAGACAAGACAGTACACACATCCTGAATCAGGAGCCACTAACATGATGAAAATAACCCCAGAGCCTGTCCTCTTTCCATACTTGCACAAATACTAATTGATGGCCCATTGCTGCAGGTGCAGCTGCTACAGCCCTACCATTTTCGAGTTTGAGGGTGTGGGTGTATCGCATATCAGGCAGTTGGCAGGAAGTTTGTGTTGCTTCTAAATGGTGAACCAGGTGAACACTCATCGGGTATGACCATCGGAAGTGGTTTACCACAGGACATCAGGGAAGCCAGGGAACCTATATAGGAACTGCTGTACCAACTGTTGCTTAGGCTCTTTGTCACTTGGGGGAGGAAAATGGTGGTTCTGACAAATCACCAGATAAGGTAATTGAAGACGAAGGGATGCTGATTGCATGTTGCAGCAACAGGGAGACATTACCTTCCACATACTGGTGCAGGGCAGGAATGACCTTCTGGGAGAAAATGGTGGATGGGTACCTGCCACTGTGGCGCAGCATGGGTTGCAAACCCTGGGATAAAGGCAGACTTCAGTAGCTGGTACTGGAGCAGCTGTATATCCAGCAATTTTGCCAAACTCGCATTGAGATGTTAAGCATACGGGTGATTGGCTGAATATTTCTTCTTATGCTCCAGCAGCTAGGGAAGAGACCAGTTTGGTCAAGAATACAACTGTAGCCTACACTTGGTCCTAGGCTTTAGGCTGCAGATGGTGCAGCTGATACAGATGAAGATTCTTGTGATGTGGGGGGAAAGGTGGAAAGGGTCAAGTGAGGTGGACTTTTGCTGCCAACTTGTATTATTCAAATGCTGCTCCCACCAATCTTTGTGGTGAGCAATCATGTGTTTCCTTATGCATGTGGCACCCAAGTGACTGGTACATTTGATATGCCTCAGGCAGAGGCTGAAAACCACTATAATGCTGCTAATAATGTTATAAAAGGCCCAGACTGCTGAGCTCTGTGGAGCAAAGGCCAGGAATTGCATGCTTGCTGATTAGTTGCTATGGATGCCAACGATCACATTCGTTTTTCTGAACTGTGAGCAGCTTTCGTTGTTAAAATTTTGTGTTAAATTTTGTTGCACAACACCATATAAAAGGATTAGAATAAGGATGAGCTTCCCGAAGGTCGTCCTTATTCAAATGCTCTTATATTGTGTTGTACAACTAAATTGCACAATGAATGATACTTTGCACAACTAAATTGCACAATGAATGATACTTTATTAGTAATATAACTGAATCATGCAATCAAAATATTGAGAGCTGATGGTCACTATGAGAGGTAATACACATTTTTAGATGAAGAGGTAAACAATGTCAGCCTTTGTGTTTTTCTCAAATGATTTCTATTAGCATATAAAGTAACAAAGATGCTTGTAATTGTTGAATTCCTGAAAAACAGCCAAATACACAGTTGGTATACTGTGGTTACACCTACAAAAGTATATGCAATTGTCTTCAGCCAGTCTTACTATCTAGGCACCCATGGTAGATAGCACTGCTGTGCCCCAAACCTCCCTTCATATAGGTTTTACAGCTTGGTCAAGGATCCACTCCAGTCTGTGACTGGAGAATGAATGAGCAGCAGCTTGTAAATAAGGTCACCTTACTGCTCCTGTAAGCTTTCTCCCTATAAGCAACAAACCTTGTGTGCTGCTGTACAAAGAATTACAGGATGTTGATACAAGACACGGATACAAGAACTTATGCTAGTTCTATGTAAAAAAAAGCAATACACAGTATTTCAGATTCAGCCAGAAAATTAATTTAAAGTTGCATGACCATGCTGTATGTGTGTGAGAAAATATCATAGAAAAATGTTTGTCTACTTAGACAGGCATGAAAAAAGATTTACTTAAGTTCTTAATATGCAAATTAACTACTCTGGCGTACATGGCAACCGGAATTTTTTATTTTTTTTAACATATAAGCCATGGCTTCTCTATGTGAAAATAGAGGACACAACTTATTTACTTTCCAGGACACCCAGCATTTCTAATTTGTTGTATTTTTATATTGGTATTACATATCATATACTTGCTATATGCGCAGCACCATCTAGCAGATATGGGATACAAAGGGTTGCCAGGTTTCATCTATTTTTTCATGCCTCAGATTAGCTGGTAGTGACATTCAGAGGAGGAGTACCACACAGGAGTGTTGTTTAACCACTTGAAGACCAGGTGTTTAGACCCCCTTCCTTGCCAGGCCATTTTTCTGAGTTCAGCGCTGCTGTACTTTGACTGACATTTATTCCGTCATGCAACGCTGTACTGAAATTATTATATACCATTTTTTGCGGACAGATAGAGCTTTCTTTTGGTGGTATTTATTCACCACTACGGGTTTTTATTTTTTTCTATATTTCAGAAAATTTACTGAAAATTTTGAAAAAAAAAAAAGTTTTTTTTTACATTATGTTAGGAAACAATTATTATTACCCAATTTTTTTGTAAAATATAAAAGACGGGGTCACGTCGGGTAAATAGACACCAAACATGTCAAGCTTTAAAATTGCGTGCACCCGCGAAATCGTAAAAAACTACAATACCCCAAATTGACCATAGGCGACACTTTAAAAGCTTTTACCGCTCATCAGTTTAGTGTTATCAGTGATTGATGGCCCTATAATTATTGCTCTCACTGTAACATGTGTGGCGTAATGGACGCAATCACCGTTTTCGCAGGTACGCGCAACTGACGCATGTTTGCATGCGTGTATGTATGGGTGGGGGCTTTTACATTTTTTTAAAATTATTTTTTATGTGTGACTTTAATTTTATTTTGGAAACTTTAATTTTTTTTCCTATTTGTTTTTTTTTTCCTTTACTTAACTTTATTGCTATGACATAGGGGCTAGGAAACCCCTCTATGTGATAGCAAAAGATGTGGCAGGTACTCTTTATGGAGACATCAGTTGCTCATGCAAGCGATCCGCCGGCTCTATAGCCGGCAGATCGCTTGTATGTTAACAGACATCGGTGCCTGTTTTTAAATCGCCGTGTTTCGTGCGCGCAGGTGGGCGTGGCTGAGCGGACCTCTAAAGATGCCCGCTCAGATCTAGAGACCTCTCGGCCGGCCTTTTTTTTTACAACGGCCGGCCCTGAGGTGGTTAATTTAATTTTTCAACCTCTTAGTGAATGTTGGTTAAGAAGACAGGTTTTCTCTATTTTGGTTTTGAATACAGAAGGGAACAATTAAAAATCCTATTAGGAATTTGTATCCTTTTTAAATGGTAAACTTTACTTTCACAGCTTTTCCCAGAGACACAACAAGAAATGACAGAAAACCTCTCCAAAGTTAGAGACATTCCCCTTTAGGCAGTTGTCACTAGAATCGCTGTTGCCTCCTTCCCTGTTCCAGGTAAAACTATAACATTTTGGATTCCTCATCCCTTTCTGTCAAATAAAGAGGCTGAGCCTCTACAACAGGGAAATATTAATAAAAAACTGAAAGGGGTTATGACCCATCTCTACTCAATCCAAAAGTAAAATACGTTTTGGTTTTAGATACATATTTATGATTTTCTACAGAATATATAACAGGATTAAATTGTCTCTTTATCTGTGCTTGGATACATTATATCATGCAACAATGACATCCTAATAACATTTGTAGCACTTCTTGGAGTTTACATTAAATATATGATTTTACATATCTAGATCCAGACTGTTAGGGTCACTGTTTGCCTTCCATTTTTACAGCTGGCTTAGCTCAAATGAATGGAGTGTTCAATGCTATGGAATATCTTTGAAGGTTCTCATTTATCCAGGTCATAGTATATCATAGTATAGATAGTTGTATTTGGCCACATACTACTGGATGTGCTCTGTAATGTTGACGACAGATCATAGTCAAGCCACTTCTTCAGTTCTGATGAATGTCAAGAAAGTACCCTAGCGTTTATATAAATACAGGTAGCACGGACACCTTCAGTCAATCAGTTGTGATTTGGAATGCAAATACCATTTGACCAACTGAACATTTCCTTGAACCAAATGTTTTATTAGTTCTGAGTTAAAAAGTAAAGCCAGTTTCGGTTTGTAGACTACCATAATATAATAACCCTACCTAACACAAATAATGCATTGGTTCTGGTTTGTCTTTCTAGCCAAGGTACATTGAACCACTGGATCCATGTAGCCAATATGTTTGCATTAATATGGGCTGGATGCTGTATAATGTATCAAGTAATTGTCACAAAAATGTGGAGAAACCTGACTGCGGCTTTCGTGGAATGCCTGTCCAAGTGAACACTGACAGCTGCTGCCCAGAATGGGAATGTCCATGTGAGTTATCTTCCAGTATTTTCTTTTTTATTTTAGTCATGGATTATGTGAACAATAGAGAGCATATATAATGATAAAGCCATATGTCCCTCTCTAATTTAGCCTGTCATGAGGATTCCAGTTAGGAGAATTTAGCTACTTATATGTTTTACTTTAAAGAAGAACTCCAGGAAACTTTTTTTATTAACCCTTGCTGTGCGGGGGTAGCTCATAGTGCTCGTAGTTTGTGTCTAGGTTAAAAAAAAAAGCTGGCAGCTGGCTTGTTCTTAGACCAGTCCTTCCTAGGTCTCTCCCCCTCCTCTGCAGCGGTCTAAGGTCATGTAAATAATCACATCTATACACAGCATATAGACGTGAGAATGCTGAAGAAGATTCCAATATTTTAGCACCTAGACATAAACAGGCACTTAACCCATGCAGTGTCGTGATAGCCCCACTGCAAGGGTTAATAAAAAGATTCCTGGAGTTCATTTTTAATTTCACAAAGTGAGCATTCTTTTTGCTAAATGTTCAACCTTCAACCTTCAATCCTTTAGTTAATCAACCCCATTGAGTCCAAAGAGAAAGTTTGCTAACTGCACTAGGGTCTGTCTAGAGCTATGTTCAGCTGTGAATAGAATAACATAGAGAGACATAAGAATAAAGGAGCAAGCTCATATATGTCTCATTTATGGTGTTATTATACCACCCATTTTTCAAACATAACAACTATGTCACTTATTATTGCAGTTGTATGATTCTTCTATATAAGAAGCATGTCTCTGTTATTTTCTGGATGTCAGTGTGGCTTGTATATAACTGTTTCTATATACACACACTTATTCTGTGCAGTAAACATTTGGTAATAATGCATGCCTTTCCTTAGGCCAGTGCTCTGTGTTATCCGAGCTGAGCATCATCACATTTGATGGGAATAACATTGCACTCTATAATGCAGCACCCTACATCTTAGTCAGGCTTCCGAAAGAAACGATCGTAGCCCATATTGAAAAATGTCCTCCAAGCCTGGTAAGTAAAATGATTCATGGTATGGTATGGCATGCATGTTTATTAGTACATACATAGGTTACTGAAGATAAAAAAATGTGTATGCTGTAATTAACTGTTTCTTCAAAGGAAACCTATCAGAGAGTCATGTAAGATACCATTGTTGGAATCTTCTGAAAATGTTAACTGTCTGAATTCCATGCTGACTTTTTTGCAGTCTCAGGAAAACAATACAATTCATGAATCGTTATTGTTGAAATTGCTAAATTGCACGATTCTCTGTTTCGAAGAAACAAAGACTTGATAATTGATAATTATTTCATTTAAATAGTCACTATGTCAATTAGAGTACTGAGAGGTTTTACATGCCATAATCGTGGAGTTGGGTTCAGCTATTCACTTCTAACTCACTTTAACTTTTCTTTTCTAGAGCGTGAACTCAATAAGAAAACTGGTAAGTGATTCAACACAGCTGCACAACACTAAATAGTAATAATGATAATATCCATCTGCTTTCTTCCTGTTCTAAGGCACCTCTATGTCTGAAGCTCTCACAGGCTCTTATATAACACACAAATCTTTCTATATACAGCTTTATAAAAGGCCATGGACTGACCTTGTTTTTAATTTTGTTGTGTCTTCTCTTATTTTGTAGGTTGCAGCTGGAGGTACTTCAGGGCTGTGCTTCAAAAAACTAAACGTTACAACGGCAAATTTTCAAGTGCTTATAAATCGCTTAGAAAGGAGGGTGAGTATAAAATGACTGTTATGTGGTTATATTTGTATACTAGACTAAGCCTTCTTTTTAATAAGGTACACCAGGATGGGCATTTAGCTGTAGTTCTGCATATATTTACAAGCATACTTTTGGCCAATTCTAAGATCAGTTAAGCTAAAACAAAGAGCTTTTGTAAAGCTTGGCTACTAATTAAAAGCATACTTAAATGAATCTAGGCAGTTTAAACTGAGGACATGATGAAAATGCACAAGCAAATGCTACCTTCAGTAAAATCTACATATCAAAAAATCACTAAGTACTGAAGTGTAGATAGCTGAAGGGTTATGCAGTGTTATGTTCAGTTTTGGACCACCTTCTACCTCCCAAGCAGGGATGCGGTCGCTATGGGGCATGCGGCACTGGGGAGGCCCGGATCCCCGCTGCTCTCCCCCGCTTGTATGGGCTGAGTGTACTATGTGTCCCCAGTTATGAATGAACAGGAGGTGATTCATATCACCTCCTGTTCATTCATGAATTTCTCAATGGGGAGAAGCACTCAGTATAGAGGCTCCTCCCCCTTGAGAATCTGCGTGATAGTTAATATGTTACTATCAGCAGTTTGTGAATGGGAAGACTCTGTAGTGAGTGCTTACCATTAACTGAGTGCTGAGGCTTCAGAAAAAGACACTGAAAACTCTGTGTCCTCAATGTCTTTTTCTATTTCAAAAGGGAAATGTCAGGGGTCTGTTTAGACCCCTAATATTTCCCCGACGCCCCCCCAACAGTAAAATAATAATTACAAAATAAATTTAAAATGTGTAAATAAAAAAAAAATAAG